TGGAGGCGAGGCCAGTCAAATCAAACACAGAAGGGACAGGGAGGCCACCAAGGAGTCAGGCTGGGGATCTGCCTCTGAGGCCAGGGGAGACACCGAGGACTCTGAGAAGAGGGGCTGGCTGAGAAAGCCCCCGAGGGCCCCGGCGGGACCCTGGCCTCTCAGCTGCAGGGGCCTCGGGTCATAATGCAGCCTAGGGCCAGGCTGCAGCCCAGGGCTCAAGGACAGTGGGAAGGAGGCTGCAGGGGGAAGGAGGCTGCAGGGGGAAGGAGGCTGCAGGCGGGAGCCGTCCCTGGGCCGACGGCTGGGGAGGCCTCGCAGCCCCAGCACACTCACCCTCCTTCCGCATGCCCACTCGGAAGCACTTCTTGAGGCGGCAGTACTGGCACTGGTTCCGATGATGCTGGTCGATTTGGCAGTCACGGTTGGACCTGGGGACACACAGAAGCCGGGCTCCCATGACATCCACACCATCTCCCTGAGCCGCCCTGGGGAACGGGCTGGGGCTCCCTGGGCAGGGGCTCGGCACTGAGGGCTCCAGGTACGGAAGGGCGGGAAGGGCAGGTGGCCGCGGGCTGAGCGGGCAGGTGTCTGGGGAGGCAGTGAGCACAGCAAGGGGCCCCGGAAGGGGTGCTGGAGCGCAGCGGAGCTCTGGGGAGAGGGGCAACAGGACAGAGAGCCAGGACGGAGAACTGAATGGTGTCACTGTATTTGGTCAACGTCAGGCTAAGAGGTAGGGCCCCTGTCCCCAGGGTCACTATGGGGGGAGAGAAGGGACCTGGTCAGGGAGCTGGGTTTGTGAGTGACTAAGGCACTAGAGGCCAGGCCATGTGCCAGGGGTCTATGGGGTCACACCACTGGGGACCCCGGCGCACTGCCTGCCCAGGGCCTGCACTAAGGAGGAATGAACCCAGGAGCCCCTGGTCCCCCTGAGGGCCACAGCCACCTCCCCTCCTCTGACTCCATCCAGGCCGGAAGCCACCCTGAGCTGCTTCCTCTGCGCAGCCCGGTGGCCTGCTGCTGTCCCTTCCAGGAGGTCCCAACAGGCAGTGGGCTCCCCGGCCAGGCTCAGCCCCAGGAGGGAAAAGCTCAGGCCCTTGTTCTTCGGATGTCCCCAGAACCCTCTCCCCTTGGCCCCCGCACTCCCCCATGGGCTGGGGGCTCCCTGAGGCCCGGGGCCAGACACCCCTGCACCAAGAGGACACGGTGAGAGACTGAAATAAACCCTCCAAACATTAAAGACACAGAGGGGCACCCAGCTGTGACGCCCAGCCAAAACTGCACGGGTGGCCTTCCTACAGGGATGCTGTGGGCCTGGGGCGGGGTGGGAGAGCCAGGCCCAGCCAGGGAACTCAGAGGCAGGGCAAACAGGGCGGAGGCCGAGGCACCAGCCACTGAGCCCAGCAAGAGGCCCGACTAGGGCAGAGGGAACTCAGGCAGAACCCGAACAAAGCCCCAGCAGACTGCAGGGGGAGGATCCAGGGCAGCCGGGTGGAACGGGCCAGGCCTGGGGCCCAAGGGCAGGGGGCCTACTCAGGGCCATCTGACCTCAGGGGAGGCCCTGAGCCTTCGGCCTCAACTTTCCCAGCTATAGAATTTGAACGGATCTGTCTCCCCAGATAAGGAAACAGTAAGTTCTTCCTGTTATCTCACCTAAAGAGTATATACCTTGCCCAATCACATCGCCCAGTTCAGCCTCCTCTTTGGCTTTTGGCCTTTGGCCTCCAGTCCTATTTTTTTCTTTCTTTTTGGAGATGGGACCTTGCTATGTCACCCAGGCTGGCCCAGAACTCCACAGCTCAAGCCATCCTCCTGCCTGGGCCTCTGGAGCAGCTGGGACCACAAGTGTGCGCCTCTGCCAGGGTGTCCAGTTCAGGACACAGCCCTCCCCTGCTCCCGTGCCCTGCGAGGCTCCCCACGGCCTCAGTCTAGCACTACAGACCCATTGGCTCCAGCTCCTCCAGGGCCTGACAGTCTGGTCTTACAACCCAGCTCCCCCAGCTGCCACCTGGGCCCCCTCAGGAGTGCCGGCTCCTGCTGGCCAAACCCTTCATGCTTAAAAGAACCACCTGGGTCCCTCCTCCAGGAAGCCTTCCCTGACCCCCAGGCAAACCCCTGTGCTCCCTCCCTAGGAGGCCAGACCCAACAGGCTCCGGGCATCGGTGTCTCCTCCAGACTGAGAGCCCGTTGAGGACAAGGCTCGGACTGGGGTCTTTCTAGGGCACTGACATGAAACCCCCCAGGCCAACTGCTTAATGAACTGGAGGCTCAGAGAGAGACAGTGACTCCCCTGGGCCACACAGCTCTGAAGAATCTGCCGCCTCCAAACAACTCCCCCTCTTGCTGCACCCTGACCCCGCCCTCAGGTACACTGGGATCCTGAAACTGCCTGAGCCCCCTCCTTTGCCCTCCCTAAAGACCCAACCAGAGCACGGGCATTTATTCCAGCAGCAAGAATGAGGCCAAAGTCTGGTGGCCCAGTTAGCGCTGGAGGAGGGAGCAGGCCAGTCCCCCCACCCCCTACCTGCCCCACCCCCCAACCCACACCCACCCCCCAGCAGGCTCTGACCAGGGACCTGGGGCCAAATTCCAGCCTCAGTCATCCGGGTCCCCACATGGTGCCTCTGCCAACCAGCCCGTGGTCAGCAGCTCTCTCTGGGGATGCAATGACTCCAACTCAGCCCCCTCCCTCCCTGGCCCCACAGTTCCCCTTGCTGAGCCCAGCTGAATCAGATATGCTCCATGTGGAATCCAGGGCAGGAGGCAAGATGTCCCTGGACCTCAGTTTTGTGCATCTGGGAAATGGGACTGTCCATCCTACCCCCACAGAGACCACGTTGTTCCTGGGGGGTGCAGGGTGGGGCCTGTCAGTGAAGGAGAGGATATCCACCATTCCCTAGGCGGGACACCCAACCCTTCCTCCAGCGGACCTTCCATCCCCAGCACCAACAGGAAGAGCCGGCACAGCCACACCCTGCCGGAGGGGTCTCCAACTGGGACCACCCAGGGCTCCTCCTCAGAAGCATTTCATTCCCATAACCTCTCAGTGGCCCCAAACTTCACAGGACTGTCCAGGAGCCCCAGGTCTGCACCCATCCCTTGGTGTGTGCGCGGGGGTGCGGTCAATTCCGGTGGCCCTGCTGGCCCTCCAGTGGTGGTTTCCGGTGACCCAAAGCCCAGGGAGAGCCGAGGGGGTGCCCCCTGACAGACAAGCCCAGCTCCCCTTCCACAGCAGGGCCCCTTATGTGAAGAAGACCACACTGTGCCATCCCAGCCTCCTTCCAGCTGCCGCGGTAGCCTGGGCGACTTTGGAAGTGATATTTGACCCCAAGGGCGCGCCGTATCGATCCGCGCGGCCGCAGACAATGGCCCCTGGACTCTGCGAGCTCCACGGTCCAAGTTCCACGTTCGATTCCCGAGGGCTCTGCCGCGCGCCGAATCCCCAAGAGAAGGGGTGCCCTGGGGTTAGGGTCCCACTCCTGACAGCACCCCCAGCCCGTCCCCGCGCGGCCACGACCCCCTCCTCGGAGAAAAAGAACAGACGAGCAAGAAGCCGAGGCAGAAGCCGCGAGGGACCACCTGATTGGGGGGGGATCTGCATCGATGCAGCGCCAACTGTATACACAACCCCAGGAAAGGAATGGCGGGAGGGGGGCTGTGTCCCTAGCTCAAAGGGGGAGTGGAGGCGCAGGGAAGGTCAGCACCAGGCCCAAGGTGACCGAGCAGGTCAGAGGCCCGCCCCAGGCCGGGGCTGGTGCCCGGCGGCGGTGCGCGCGCGGATGGGGGGCTCACCGGCAGGTGTAGCTGAGGTTGCGGCGGATGCTCCGCTTGAAAAAGCTCTTGCAGCCCTCGCAGGTGAAGACGCCGTAATGCTTGCCGCTCGACTTGTCCCCGCACACCACACAGTCCACCTGCAGCCCCGGCCGCTCCTCGTCGCCAGGCTCCGCGTCGCTGGCGGCGCCGGGGGGCGAGGCCGAGTCTTCTTCGGCTGCGCGCGGGTAGCCGCCCGCCTTGTCCACGCCGTTCGTGTCGCCGCCGGGGCCGCCCCAGCCGCCGGTCACCATGGCCATAGCCCCAGGGCAGCGGGGCCGGGGCGCCCCCTCCTCGTTCTTCCTTTCGGGCACCCCTCTCGGCCCGGGGAAGCCTACCAGGCGCGCATCCGGCCCCGGCGCGCGGGGGGCACCGGCTGCACCCCCCAAAAAAGTTTTGCAGCAACTTCCTGCGGCCGGTCCGCGCGCCCGGGCGGAACTGGTCGGGCCGGTTCCAGGCCAACTTTCCCACGCGTGCGCGGGGCCGGCGGGGGCGCGCTAGAGGCGTGGGCCCGGGGCCCCGAGGTCTCGCGCCCCGCCGCCCTGGGGCCCCGGCAGGGGCGCGCGGGCCATGACCCGGCCCGGGCTGCGCAGGGGCCGCCCTCTGGCCTGGCCGCCGCTCGGCCTGGGTCTGCGGCCAACTTAGCGGGTCGCCATCGGAGCGCGGGAGGCCGGGGGGAAAGTTTGGCCGCAAGTTGCGCGGCCGCCCGTGGCGAGGGGGAGGGGCGGCGGGCGCGCGCCGGGGCCAGTCGCCGCGCCCCCTGGGTCCCCAGGGCCCCCAGGTGCCCGCGGCGGCCGCTCGGGGCCTGCAGGGCCGCGGGCCGGCGCCTCCCGAGCTGCCGCCCCCGCCGCGGCCGCGCCCGCCCGGCCTGGGCCTGCGCCTGGGCCCAAGCCTCGCTCTCGCCGCCGCCGCCGCTGCCGCCGACCCCGCGCGCCGGCCTCGCGCTGCGGCCGGTTTGACACACAACGTTCCATCCGCGGGGCGGGCGGGGGGCGGGGGCGGGGGCAGGGGCGCGCGCCGCGGGCTGGGGGCGGGCGCTCGTTGCCCGGGCGACGGCCGCCCTTATAAGGGCATGGGTGGCCGCGCGCGGCGCCCGGCGCCCGGGCCAGCGGGAGGGACGGGGGCGGAGCGCGGGGCCGCTGGCCTGACCCTCCCCCACCCCCTCCCCAGGCCCCCGCCCTCCACCCGCTCCAGCCTTAACCCCTGCAGGGCCGCCTCGGGGGCCTGAGCGGCGACTGCCCTCTGCCCTTCCTCTAATGTCGCCAGAATGTCTCTCCGTGGCCCTTCCCTCCACCTCCGGCCTTGGACGTTACGTCTTTCAAACACCCTCAAGGCGCCCCTCGGAAGCCCCCAGCCCCACGCATTCCCAGCAGAAGCAATAATCGGGGGACTTTTGCACCCGGGGGCACGCCCCTGCCAACACACACACACACACACACACACACCCTGGGGCATTTCTTCGCACAGTTGCAGGATGGATTGTGTTTGCTTCCTCTTCCAGAAAGTCGCCGCGTCCGTCCGACCCCCACTCCACCCTTTCTCTGCTTGGGCGAACACCTGGTGCCCAGAGCCTCCAGGGAGAAGGGGTGGTGTGGTCTGAGTCTGGCTGGACGGGTAAGGAGTAGCGAAGTCAGGGGGTCCCTTCTACAGAATTTCAGGCCTCTGGGGGCAGGGCACTCTGCGACCATCCACCGGCCCTCCACCAGCCCTCCACCGGGCTGGAGACCACAGGAATACCAATCACCCCTGCCAGGGCCTGTCCCTGTCCCCTTCATTTCTTTCCCTCTGTGCTTTGCAGAAAGGGGTTGGCCTGGAGACCGGCTGGAGACTACAAGATCTCCTCCAGGAACCCTGGAGCCGCCCACCCGCCACCGTGTCCAAAGCCCCTCACTGCCTCTGCCGGACCCTCTACCCTCACCAGCATTTAGTAAGCACACTTTGCATGCAAGACTGGACTTGGGAGCAGGGGAAGCCTGAGTCGCCGGCTCTAGACCTGTTAATGTTTAACCAACTGGAAAAGTTCTTCCTCAGGTGACCTTTTACCTATGAGTCCTGAAGGTGCAGCCACCCAGCCTGTTCTCCTGCCTAGCCCTGGACCTAGAACTGGACACCAGGGCACATATCTGAGCCTCTGAGAGCCACAGACAGGACAGCAGTGCCCTCTGCCCCTGTCTGATCTTATACCAGCCCTTCCAGTGAGAGACTTGGGGCTGGGAGAGATGCTTAGAGACTGTATGATACTTAAAGGGAAATTAAGATTCAGTTTAGCCAGCCAGTCACACCCATCCCTGGGCCTCTGGATCATCCAGAAAGGGTCTGGTTAGTGTGAAATGGAAAAAGACTTAATAGAGAAAGCAGGAAAGACTAGGGTTAGACATGAGCAAGGACTTCTCATGGATCTGACTAGAGTGGGGTTTTGCTCATAGTCCTGCTGGGGGAGGGAGCCTGGGCAGGCAAATGACACTTTAGTTCTGGAGCTTCATGGGAACCTGGGGGCACTGGCTTGTTATTTGGGGTAAGGATCGGGTTCCCCTGGCCTAAACCTGCCAGCATTCTTGGGTGGCGGACATGGGGTGTGGGGTCTCATAGGAGATATCAAAAAGGTGGACTTAAAAGTGAGAGAAAGCTTGAGAGGGGGGACTCACAAGGGAAGTGGACAGGAAACTGGCAGGGGCAGTTGACTTGGTGGGGGAGGAGGAACTGAATCTGGGGGACTGGGTGGGAGACACTGGAGGCAGGGCTGCCCCTTCCCACCTGCCCCTTCTCAGGACCTTCCAGCTCCAGGGCTGCCCACCCGCCCTCTACCAGCAGCCCTTCCACCCCCGCGCCCCTGGGGCCCGACTGGTGATGGGCTGAGCCTCGGCACCGCCCCCAGCTGACCCCTGCCCGCGGCCCCGCGGTGACATTTGACCTTGCGGCGGCCGCGGACCCGGGACAAAAGGGCCTGGGCCCATCTGCCGCGAGGGCGCCCGTGGGAACGGCTAGACGCTGCCCCGGCTGCCTGGGAAGCAGCCCCCTCCCCCTCCTACAGGTGACCTTGGCTTCCCTGTTCGCCCCTCCCCTCGTCAACCTGGTGGGACTAGGGATTAAGAACACTCTTAGAAAGGACAGGACGGAGGGAAGTTAGTTCCTGGGCTTCTCCCAAGAGCAAGGTGACCCGCCTCAGTTTCCCTGCCTTCCCCGGAAACTGTCTGGCCTGGGTCCAGAGGCAGCGCAGGGACCGAAGGTCACCAGCCCCATCGCTCATGGGAAGAGACTCTGTTGTCATTCTCTTCCTGTTCTGCCTCTCAGGTCGACAAGACCATCCACTGACGCGCTGACCCGTGGCCTTCCCTTGGGAAAGGCACCCGCCTGTCACACACCTGCACAGGTGCGGCCAGGTGCTGCCGCCGAGCCCCGCCCTCCCGCCAAGGCTGTGGAGGAAACCTTCCTAATCCTCATCTTGGGTTTCAGCTACTGCCCAGGAGGGACAGCTGGCCGCTAATCCTAGCGTGATTGGGTCGTTTTCAGCCCCTTCCCCAACCCAGCCCCTCAGTTGCGGAGGGACAGAGGGGTGTGGTCTATGCAAATGACACGCTAATCAGCTGCCTGCTATTAACCTGGCAAAAACACTCCTCCCAGCTCCCAACCCCCACAGGAGAAGGCCCCAGCTGCTCGGACACTTGCTCTGAGTTCCTCCTACCCCCAAAGCACCAGGCAGCCCAAGTCCCAGGCTTTTGCCTTTGGGGTGACTGCCCCCACCCCAAACTCCATGATCTTGCAATGCAATTTCCAAAGCCATCTCTGGCTCCTGTGCCCCTCACCACCCTGGGAGCAGGCACTCATCTTGCACAACCCGAACCTGACCCGTTCTGGCCCCAGTCTCCCTGCTGGGGCCCCAGCATTCTCTTGGAGAGCGCCTGCCAACCCAGACCCCACCTCCCTGGGCAGGCATGGGCAGGGAAGGTGTCCTGCTCCCCTGGACCCACCCTGGGCTTCTGGACAAAGAGAACTGGTAGAACTTCGGCTTCGCCGGAGACCTCACTGAGCCCAAACTGCCCCAGTCGGGGGTCTCTGTCCCTACAACCTAGGTCACTTCTGGCTGGACCTCAGTCTCAAACTTTTCCCCCACATGGTGCCAGGGCAAAGACACTGGGTTTTCTTCAAATGCCCAGTCACCTCCCATCAGTCCCCGTCGTGCTAAATGAGCCCCAAACACAAAGTCACCGCACAGGACAATGTCACTCCAGTATGCTTTATGACAGGCCTGGTTGAGGGCCTACAGCAAGGTCTCCCCCAGCTGAGGGGGTGGGCAGGGAGGCCTGCGTCCTCCCAGGGCTCTGGCGGTGGCTTCTAGCACGGCGAGCTCCTCGGCCTGCCGGGCTTCCATTCGCTCCATCTGCTGCTCCAGCTTCCGGCATTGCTCTTCCTGCTTCCGGTGGGCTCCTCGGAAGGCCAGGACCAGGGCACTGGAGGGAGTGGGTGGCTGAGCCAGGAACTGCCCCGCGCTGCGCCAAAGCAGGGGCTGCGCTCGCCCATCCAGTGCGTGCGCTCTTGAGCCGGGTCTTGCTGGGGCCCTGGTACGGCTCAGAGGCCGCAGGGAGGCGTGGGGGGAACTGGACTTGCTGCCCTTTTTACAGGGGGCAGCTGAGGCCCAGGGAGAGCTGGGGACGCTTGTGAGGTCACCAAGTAGATGATGACCAGGCCGGGGCCCACCTGTGAGCTTTGCAGAGATCAGTGTTCAGCTCAGCGTTCTGGGTCCGCCTAGCTCGTCCCTTCTGAGCTACCTGTTCCAGCTGCTCTCTAAGAGACTGCATCTGCTCCCGCAGGTCCAGGGTCCTAGCACAGCGGTGGAGAGAGGGGCAGCTCATGGCCATCGCCAATCCTGCCTCCCTGTCCCCCTCTCAACCACGTGGACTTTCACGTGGACTTTCACATAAACACGCCTGCACACAATGCTGCCGCCCTGCCATGCCCTGCCAGCCCATCCACCCCCATCCAGGCCTACCTACCTGGTGACACACCTACCTGGTGACTGATGCCTCTATTTCTTTGGCTAACTTCTCTGGGTCCCACATTCTGCCTAACTGGCCTCCATCAAGGCCACTAGAGCCACCAGGAACAGCAGGAAGGCCCTAAGAGGAAGAAAAGGGAGGGAAAAGTAACATTAGCCCAGGCCCCTGGGGTGTGCTCACCCAGGCTGGACATCGAAGCCACCCAGATTGCTGTCAGCCACAGCCCTTGCCCTCAGTCTGATGAGATACCCCAATATGGGGAAAGCTTCTCTCTGAAAAGGGAAATAAATAACAGGGGACCTCATCTGACGACAGTCCAGGAGGACTGCCAGGAGGAGGTGACCTCTGAGCTCAGGGCTACAGAAGGCCAAGGATTTCTATTACACAAAGAGGGGAGAGGTGTTCCTGGCGGAAGCACAGTCAGTATGAAGTCTTGGAGACGAGAGAGATGATTCAAGGGCTGCGTTAGGAAACCTGCACTGAGCTGGACGTGGTGGCACATGCCTGGAGTCCCAGCTGCTTGGGAGGCTGAGGCAGGAAGATAGATCTCTTGTGCCCAAGAATTTGGGGCCAGCCGGGCAACAGGGCAAGAACCTTCTGACTAAAAAACACAAAAGTTTTTTGTTTTTTTTTAAAGGCCTGTGAGCCAGGCACAGTGGAGCATACGTATAATCCCAGCAGCTCTGGAGGCTGAGACAGGAGGATCGTGGGTTCAAAGCCAGCCTCAGCAACTTAGTGAGGCCCTAAGCAAATTAATGAGACCCTGTCTCTAAATAAACTACAAAAAGGGCATGGGGTGTGGCTCAGTGGTTAAGCACCCCTGGGTTCAATTCCCAGTACCAAAAAGAAAAAAAAAGGCCTGTAAGCCGCTGAAGACTTTAGGAAAGGACAGACACAACCAGGCAGGAAGGAGAAGGTATCAAAATCTGGGAGGAGATGAGGCAGAGACTGGGGTGTGGGATGGGACAGGAGGAACGCAGGGCTTGGGGATGGTATAGGTTTGAGTGGAAAACCCTAAACCCCATGGGAAAGAGGGGAGAGACCGGCTCACAGCTGCAGCTGGTCCTGGTTAGAGACACCCAAGGAAAGGAACTGCAAAGTACAGGCAGCAGGTGTGGCAGGAACTTAACCATTCAACTTGCTTCTCTGGGCAGAAACGGAGGGTGAGCTCAAGGGGGGATCAACGGGCCAGGACCACGCGGCCAGTAGCAGGCTGCCACCCTACCAGGTCCATGCAGGGCCACTCACCTGCGCCCACTCCTCCTCGTCCCCACTGCTGCTGCCTCCACCACTGCTGTCCACCCCTCCAGCCCCCAGCTGCGCCTGCTCCCACTGCAGCTGCTCCAGCAGCAGCAGGTGGGCAGGGCCCTGGGCTCGGAGGGCAGCGTCCCGCAGCTCCAGGCTGCGCTTCTCGCGCCGGACCAGCTGCAACTGCAGCATCAGTTCAGCAAGGGTCTCCTGAAGGACCGTAGAAAGGACGGAGAATGAGTGCCTCTGGGATCAACCGCTGGGGAAACTGAGGCTCCAGAGACAGGAAATACCTCCCTCCCCTAAAAGCCGTAGCGATGGCTGGGCACAGTGGCCACGCCTGAATTCCCAGCAACTTGGGAGGCTGAGGCAGGAGGAACTCTAGTTCAAGGCCAGCCTGGGCGATGCAGCAAGACCCTGTCTCAAAATCTATAAAGGCTCAGTGGTAGAGTGCTCCTGGGTGCAATTAAAAAAAAATAATAAGCTACAGTTGTGGAAATGGCATCTCTTAGTCAAGCAGTAGATCAGTGGAAGTTTCTGGAATTTCTCTGATTCCAGAACCTTTTTCTTCTTTCTGTGCTGGGAATGGAACCCAGGACCTCATGCATGATAGGCAAATACCCAGCCTCCCTGAACCAGAACCTCAGGTCTTTCATGCCAGGCTACAAACCCAGATCCTTCCCTGTCCCCAAATTCTCTTCCCAAGAACAGAATTTGGAAACTCAGATTCAGAGTCTCATAAAAATCTGAATCCCAAAGGACAAACTCCTCTTCATCCCTCAAAACCTCAACTCCAATTGCCCTTCCTCCAGGAAACCTGCCCCGAGTCCAGTAGAACTCTCCTGGTCCCCCAACCACATCCCTCTCGGCCTCAGAAATGCTTTTGTCTGTCCAGGAAAGAATGACATGGTGACCTCAGTCCATTTGTACCCGTGTGGCCAACAGGTCCTGTTGGATCTGCATCTTCTCCAGCCGGGGCAGGGCAGGGCCAGGCTGGGTCTCCAGAATGGCCTGCACCATGGCTTCTGCATGGGGCACGGTGGGCAAAGGTGCCGAGGTGGGGCCAGGCCCCGGGGGGATCTTCACCAGAGCACGGCGTTCCTGGAGACGCTGGACATATCCTTGGAGCCGGGATGCCACTTCCTGTGGCGTGGGTTTATCTACGCTGCTGCCCTCGGGGCTACAGGAAACAGGTGAGAGTCCCGTGTTAACACCGATGAGCACAGTCCTGCTAACTTCAGGACAAACTTGTCAGTTCCATCACCTTCCATCTCACTGGACCATGATGCACCTGGGTCATCTGTGCTGGGCCCTGCATCATACCAATGTGGTAGGCACCATGAGGTGGACTCTAGTGGGAACCACCTTCTATCAAGGCAACATGGTGGACAGTGGACACTACCATGCCAACCTAACGGGCACCATTTGCTCATACCAATATGGCAGGTTCCATCTCACCAACCTAATGGCACCATCTCATATCAACATGATAGACACCATCGTGGCCAACCCAATGGGCACCATCACCCAGCTTGCCAACCCCGGTGGGTACCACGGAACCTCAGGCCAACGTCATTAAGCACCATCATGCCAGTTCTAATCAGTTCTCCATCATCCACTTTCCTACCCTCCCTGGTGGGTCCCTTGCCAACCCTAATGGCTGTCAACCATCATGCCACCCTTGATAAGTAACCATAGGAAATCCCAGTTAGACCTCATGCTAGCCAACCAAAGTGAGTTCAATGCCAGCCTTGCTGGGCACAGCAACATCAAACCCAAACCCGTGGCCAGCTCTGGGAGTCCCATTCCCCAGTCAGGACCTCAGTCACCCACCAGCACAGTTCCCAGAGCTCGCAGGGTACCTGGGCCGTGGTGTCCCTCCATCCATGGCAGCCTCCTTTTGTGCCAGCAGTCTCCATGCTTCCTTCTCAGCCACCTGCAGGTCACCCTGGGCGACTTCATCCCCTGATCCTGAGTCAGCCTCCCGCAGAGCAAGCAGGGCCCCATAGGCTTCCTCGCAGTCCTCACTGTGGGACACTGGCTCTGAGTACTGCAGGACACCAAGCTCCATCTGGCTCCTAAACTCCTCACTTCTCACCCCTGCCCTCTCTTCTCAGTCTGAAGTCGCCTTAATTGTCACAGTCAGAAAACATGCTCTCCCACAAGGGTCCTGGCTCCTGGGCAGGTGGAGCCATTCCCTCCACAGCTGCCGAGGTCACTGTGGGGGGTGCACCAACCTGTACTGCAGGGCCAGACGCAGTGCTGTGGCCTCGGCCTCCCGCTGGCCCAGCTGCATGCTGAGACTCTCACAGCGGCCCTTGTGCCCTTGAAGCACAGCCAACAGCAGACGGTTGAAGCATTTCAGCTTCTCGATACTCCTGCCTCCGAAGGTGGGAAAGAGGGGAAATGAGAGGCCACTGGTGATAGCCAGGGTCTGATTTCCACCCTCCTTCCCCTGTTGTAGCTCCAGACTCCCAGAATTGTAACCCAGCTGTGGGGGGTGCCAGTGCCCTTAAGAGCTCAGCATTTGTGGCTCTCACCCCCGGAGCTGCTCCAACCGGGACTCCATGATGTGCGTCTCAGGGGAAAGGGGCTGCTGCATGGAGAGAGACCCCAGAATGTGGGTGCTGGAATCACTCCGGAGGCGCCGGAGCAGGGGTTGAACCAGGGAGGAGTCCTGCCAAGAAGAAGTCACTTGATGGACCTGGTGAGCTTCAAGAGCCCAGGATCAAGATTTTTCCAACCCCAGAAGCAACTGGATTCCATGACCAGGAATTAAGATCATCCTCCTAAATGCTAAGTCTATCAGGACCAGGGGTTTGTACTTCTCATACTCACTTGAGTTCCCCAGAGTTCCCCATCTGCCCCAGAGCTGCTCGAATCACTGCCCGGACCACCTGCTTGGTGGCGAGAGGGAGGCGGGGAGGACTCCAGCCTCATTATGGAATCCTGCAGCTCCTGGACCTGGGGGATGATGGGGAATATCAGGCTGGGGGCTCCAATCACCTGCCAGCCATCCCCAAGGCCTGTTCCTAGGTCAGGGGCAAGTCCAGCTGGAAGGCAGAAGCCCCTATAGTCACCTCGCTGAAGCCCTCACTACATGGTCTTGTGCATGTCCTTCATCATGCATGACTTATCTTTCCCAGCAGGGAAATGGGCCCCCCTCTGGAGGAAAAATGATCCCACTTTTTTATTTATTGAAAGGTTGTCCAGAGTGGTCTCAAACTCTTAGGCTCAAGAGGTCCTCCTGCCTCATCCTCCCTAATGTCTGGGACTACAGGCATGTGCCACTGTACCCCATGAAGAGAGTTTCATTTCTTTCTTTTTTCTTTTTTTTTCAGGAGATAGTGTGTGTGGTTCTGGGGACAGAGCCCAGGGCCTCCCACATGCCAACCCGCACCCTACCACTGAGCCACACCTCCAGGCCCATGGAGCCCATTTCCCAAGTTGAGCTCCCTGGCCCTGTCTTCCTACCACTTGGAGAGGAGGGCTTTTCTCCACCATCTTGCTCAGCCACAAGGCTTTAAATGTCACCTACATGCTAAAGATGCCCAAATATCCCCGTGAGCTCTGAAACAGGACATACAGTCACCCCTCACATTCAACCAACCACGGACTAAAAATATTTGAACAAAATGGCACCTGAACTGAACACAAGCAGCTTCTTCTTTGTTATTATTCCCTAAATAAAACCTTGTGACAACTCTGTGCACAGCGTTGGGTGTCGTGAGACACCTAGAGATGATTTCCAGTCTAGGAGGATGTGCAGGCAAATGCCACACAATTTTATCTAAAGACTTGAGCCTTGGGCTGGGGTCGTAGCTCAGTGGTGGAGCACTTGCCTAGCACGTGCGAGGCCCTGGGTTGGATCCTCAGCACCACATAAAATAAATAAATGAAAGACTTGAGCCTCTGCAGATTTTGGTATCTGAAGTGGGTCCTGGAACCAGTCTCCCAAGGATACTGAAGGACAACCGTATAGCTGTCCCCTTGTCCCCTAGTGGCTCTCCCCAAGTGGTCATCTTGAGTTGATCAGTACCCAGAGAGCTCCGGGTCTCCCCCCAGCCAAACCTGTCCCTCCATCTGCTTCCCCAGTCCCCTCTGTCAGTCCCTCAGCAGCCAACGCCAGAGTGGTCCTTGGTCTCTCTCTAGGTCACACACCCAATCCCCGAGTCCACTAGCTCTGTTTTCTGTCTCCTCCTCCTCCTCCTCCTCCTCCTCCTCCTCCTCCTCCTCCTCCTCCTTTTTTTGGAACTGGGGATTGAACCCAGGAGTACTAAACCACTGAGCCACATCCCCAGCCCTTTTTATTTTTTATTGGAATTTGCGATTCTCCTGCCTCAGCCTCCCAACTTGCTGAGATTACAGGTGTGTGTCACCGCACACAGCCTCAGGTCCTCGCACCCAGCCTCAGCTCCGTTTTCAACCTCACCCAGAATCCTCCCACTTCTTGCCACCTCCATAATTTTCAGCACAGAGGACCAGGAGGGTTGAAGCCACCTCCTGAACATCAGGATTCTGCCCTCACCTCCACAGACTGTTCCTCCCACAGCCGCCAGAGGGCGCCGGTGAGCACTGCCTCAGGGCACACCCACTCTGCTCAGGACTGTGAGCAAAAGCCTGAGTCCTCCCCACAGCCCTGCACAGTCTGCCTGTCACCTCCCTGCCCTCATCTCCCTCACGTGCCCTCTTGTTTGCTCCAGTCACACTGGCGTCTTTGCTGTTCCTTGAACACATCAGTCATGCTCCCACCTCAGGACCTTTGCACGGCTGTTCCCTCTGCCTGGGACGAATGTTCTTCCCCCAAATTCTTAAGTCACTCCTCCAAGCCCTCCTTCTGTTTTTTTTTTTTTTTAATCAAGTGGGCCTCCCGGACCCTCTTACTAAGATTGCAAGGGACCTTCTGTCGCTGGTCTCAGCAGTCAATGTTCCATGCAGATGCCTTGTTTCACTGAATGAAGGAACTTGGCCCTGCCTCCTCCCTCAGAGACAGGGAGCCCTGGGAGGTGGGACTCGGCCATCCACTCACCTCTCTTTGCAGCGCCTCCTTCTCAGCCCGGATGGCCTGCAGGGAGGCCTGTGTGCGGACCAGCTCGTCCTCACGGCTGCCCAGGGCCAGCCTCAACCAGGCGTTCTTCTCGGCCAGGCGGGCTGCCTCCTGCTGGCAACCCCTGGCCCCTTCCTGCTCCGCGCAGGGCCCCCGGGCCCCCTCTGTTTCGTCCTCTGCCTCCACTGGCCCAGGACAGCTTGGGGGTCGGTGGCGCCAGGCAGCAGCGGCTGCCTCCAGGGAACTCAGAACGTGCTGGAGGGTCTGAAACACATCGGGGGCCCCGGTCCCAGTGGGGACAGTCTTCCTGTCCAGCAGGGTTGTCTCTGGGGCCTGGTGGCTTTCCACTGCAGGCTCCTGGGGTCCCTCCGGGGCTGAGGCCAGCCTCCCCCCTGAGTCCTCAGCATCCTTGCTAGTCCTGTGAAAACCAACCCAGAGACCTGAGCCACCCCACGTTCAGCAGGGGACTTCGCTGCAGTGTCCCTTGGAAGTGTGAACGGGGCCCTGAGCTTCAAGAGCTGTGTGTTCTGGGGCTGGTGTCCCAGCGGGACCCTGAGAGGCTGGACAGTGGTCCAGGAGGGGGCCTGGGGCGGGGGCCGCAGAAAAGAATGAGTTCCAGAATTTGCAAGGTAAAGAAGGGTGTCTGGGCAGAGAGTCTTTGCCTGGGTGTGAGAGACAGAAGCTTCTGGAAATGGGGTCATCTGGGGTGCTTGGTATACAGGGGCTATGTGTGAGGGCCAGGGTTACATTATTTCGGTCCTTGAAAATCAGGCTGAGGAGGGCAATGGGGAGCCATAACAGGTGCTTGAGCAGGGGAGGGACACAGGTTTGTGGGTGGCAAAGACGCACCCAGACTGGAGTCCAGGACACAGACCAAGAGGATCTTACCTGCTCCCTGGGCCCTGGCCACTGACCTCCACCATGCGGCTTGGCGGCTCTGGCCTGAAACTCTCCTGAGGTGGTTCAGGGTTGGGCTTGGAGTTCACGCTGGCTGCTTCAGCCTCCTCTGAACTCTCAGCTACGGGGTCCAGTTCACCCTGCAAAGGACCCCGGGGTCCAGCTCTGAGCCAAGAGAGACTGGGTCTTAGAGTCCCATGGAGCAGGGTCTGGTGGGGAGGGGGAACACTTACCGGCGGCAGGTGCCTCCCTCGCCGGCTTCGGGGCCGTGTGGCCCGGGCACTCATTGCTGCACAGAAGCTGAATCTTCCTGCTTTCTTTGTCACCTAGAAACACAGCCTGCTCTCAGCTCTTGCCTTTGTTATCTTGAGCAAAGGTCAGCAATGAGTCTCCCTCTGGAAGGGGTCCCCAGACAACCATGTTGGGCTGGCATATTTGAATGCCTCCCTGGATGGGCAGCTCACTACCTTCACATTTGCCAAGACTTTTCCTTCTCCTCTGACGCCTTTATCTGTCACTACTTCTATACTCCCCTTTCCCCCTATCCAGACATCGAATGGGAACCCCAAGAGTCCTCTTTCTGTCCCAGGGCCCTCCTAAGCTAAAAGGTCCTGATGCTGTGGTTCAGTCCCCTCAGCCGTATGTCTCTGTTCTTCAGAGAGCAGTCTGGTCAGAGGCCTGGGTTCCTGAGCACTCCTGGGGTCACTCTGGCCACTGTCGGCTCAGGCCAAGGCTGGCCTGGGAGGGGCCAGGAAACAGGAAACCCCCTTCCCTGGTCACGTGACTTGTTATTGTACTGTTTCCTCTGGGAGAACAGTGGGTTCCTCCAGACCTGGGGGTGGGGGTGGGGATGCATGTGTCTAGCTCCCAAGATGCGAGACCCTCCCCATCTCATCCTCTGAGCCCAGGGTCCCCCCATCTCCAAGGCTTGGATTTTATTTCCCAAGTCCCAAAGTGTCCCTCCTGTCCCCAGAGTGGATGCTTTTCATATGACTCCCCCGCGAACTTGCCTAGCTGTCCCTTCAGTGTCTGGGACAGCTGTTCTCACTCACTCAGGCACACATGGATCTTGGTTGGGTAACCTTGAGCAAGTGACGACCCCCCGCCTTGAGCCTCAGTTTCCTTATCTTTAAGATGGGGAATTGCAATATTTTTCTTACAACATCATGATGGGCTTTTTGTTTGTTGTTGCTGGGGATGGAACCCAGATCCACCACATGACAGGCAAGTACTCTACTATTGAGCCCCTGAGCTGCCCCGAGCCTGTCCTGTTTGTTTTTTTTTCCAGCAGTGGAGATTGAACTCAGAGGCGCTCTACCACTGAGCTACATCCCAGTCTTTTTTAAATATTTTTTTAGTTGTGGATGGACCTTTATTCTATTTATTTGTATGTGGTACTGAGAATCGAACCCAGTGCTTCATGCATGCTAGGCGAGCACACTACCAATGAGCCACAACCCCAGCCCCAGACATACCAGTCTTTTTGATTTTGAGACAGGCTCTTACTAAGTTGCTGAGACTGGCCTCCAACTTGTGATCCTCCTACCTCAGCCTCCAAGACGCTGGGATTACAGGTGTGTGTCACTGCACCAGGTTGTCTTGAGGTCTTAAAAACAAATTTGCATGTGGCCATCCAACATTTTCGGAAAACTGAACTGTAACACACACTCTTTTACCCTGTGACTTCTCTGGTCCTCCAACTCCACTTCCTCTGCCATCTCCGGTTTTTCCTCTGCTAATGCTGCATTTCCCAGAGCCTAAACGGTCTCCATATCCTGCCCATTTTCCTGCACCCTCCTCTAAAGGACTGCCTTCTGATTGAGTCCTAGAGGCACAGACCTGGCCTCTCTCCTCCTGCAGGGATGCCAGCTCTGCTCCCTCTAGGCTCTTTGGCTCCATGCTCTTCCCCACCCAGACTTCAGAGACAAAGATATAACTCTTTTCCTGCCAGCTCACACACCCTCCAAGTCTCCCCGTTGCTCTTGAGAGACATTTCAAGCTTCTCAGCCTCGCATGTAAGTTTCTTGCTGCCTACTCCCTTGCATTCCCCATGATCTAGCCACAATGCCTCCTCTACCGACAGTAGAAGGTTCTTGGGTTCTCCTTCTCAACTTTCCTGCACTCTGAGGTCTTTTGCCTGTGGTCTGAAATATCCTTTCCTTCCACCTGTGTTTGGTTTAAATTGTGCAAAGCCCAGCATCTGATTCTTGCCTCCGTGTCCCTGGGGAAGAAGACAAAGGTGGTGGGGAGAGAAATTACAATTCTCTGACTTGGGAGTTCCCAGGGGAACCGAATTCCCTCAGCCTCCGCTCCAGCCATATTAACCTGTTAGAGGCTCCATAACTCCAGGGCTTTTCAAAGTCTCTAAGCCTTTGCAAGGCAGAATAGCTTCCATGCTTTTCTTTTCCGGTAAATTCTTCGACTTTCAAAGTTCAGTTTATGCAGCCCCTCCTGGCTTATTTATTTATTTATTTTTGGGTACCAGGGATTGAACTCAGGAGCATTAAACCAATAGGCCACATCCCCAGCCCTATTTTGTATTTTATTTAGAGACACGGTCTCCCTGAGTTGCTTAGCGCCTGGCTTTTGAACTTAAGGATCCTCCTTTCTCAGCCTCCCTAGCCACTGCAATAT